TTTCTTTTCGACGAAATCATTTACTTAAGATGTACATTTGTATATATAGTTATATGGAAAATTTATGTCTATTGGATGATAGAAAAAATTTGCATCACTAAAATGGATTCGAGGAAAATAACAAATGGGGTTACGCACTAATCAATATATTATGCACTGCTGAGGCACTGGCAATTCACGAACTCAAGCCCGAACTTTGCGTGCAGAAACGATTTGTCCAATCTCTCATCCTTCCTTGGCCCTAATTCCCTTAATAGTTATGTTTCGGTTTTCTTTCTGCACTTTTATTTGATTATTATCGAATTTCTTAAAATTACTATTTTGCATTTTAAACTAACCAGTTATTATTATTATTATTATTATTATTATTATTATTATTATTATTATTATTATTATTATTATTATTATTACCTTATACATGTTTGCATGATTATTATTCAGTTTATTATTATGACCTTTGTATTTGTCGCTTTTCTTCATATCTGTCAATTGAACTATTATCTGACCTATAAACGATTTTCTTCCTTACCCCTTGATTAGTACGTAACCCCATTTGTTATTTTCCTCGAATCCATTTTGGTGATGCAAATTTTTTCTATCATCCAATAGACATAAATTTTCCATATAACTGTATGTACGAATGTACAGCTTAAGTAAATGATTTCGTCGAAAAGAAAATTTTATTCGCTGAATTCTCTTTTTCTTACTATTGAAATATTGTTGAACGAAACACTGACTCAGTAGACTATTACGGCTAAATTACAATAATGATGACACTACTTTAAATTTTACTTCATAATGTTGGATACAACAAGTTAATTGACAATCACTGAAGAAAATTTATTGTTATCAGTCCAAAAATCAGGTGCGTCATAACGATACTTATTGTAGTGCTTCAAATAAATCACTGCTTAATGAGCATTTTTGTAGTTCATTATCTGCTTGATAAACTTGGTACAACAGGACGCTCAAAAATACCCCATAGAAAACGAAACAACAACAGTGCGAGAAAATATAAGCCACAAAAGTTTGATAATAAATTAAATATATAAATAAACAAGAATATTGCTTATTAAAATAGACAATTCAACTAACAAAATATTCAAAGCATGTTTCATCCAGGTAAAAAGTCCATTTTACGTTTTTGAAGAATTTAGTGAAAACAAAATCATGATCTTCACTGACTATTATTTTGAACTGTTTAAATAATGTTCTAGGTCGCTGATTTGAATCAACTATCTATCCGGACTATCATAGTAAAACAACAGGTCTAAAACTAACACAGCTATATTTTATGCCGCAAACTGGTCACTTTATATGATATTAGAAAATAAGCAGTAAATTTATCATGATACACGTTCATCAATATAATTGATTTGAACAATCAGTTGTATCACAAAACAGTTAGATCTTAGCTATTTCTATGTAATACATATTTCTAAACGCAGAATTCGGAAGGTGTTGATACCAATAGGTAGTGTCCACTAACTAGATCAAAGCAATCCATCTAACTGATATAACCAGAGATGGATGATAACTAACATTGGGATCCAGTATGCGCATTTCGTCCTATTTGGCACTCGAACCCAAGACCGTTAGCTTCAAACACCATCACGTTATTTACTTAGCTTATCCATCAATGCCTATAATGTTTGTGACGTAAAGCAATATCGATGCAAGCCGCACAGAATGCACACATGCTAATGAAAAACTGACTAATTACTGTCCTAACCATGAATGGGAAGATTCAAACAACCAATATTAAAATGAATTATCTAACAGATAGTATATTCTGCATGTGTTTTGATCAACGTACTCAATAGAATCAACTCAAACACAGGAAAAGAAAATCTTGAATCTATGCACAGTCGTCTAACGCCCCAATATCATAAAGTCAAGTCAAGTAATATTAGCGTTCATACATTTTTCGTAAAACCGTTTGACTCAAATTTCTCAAGTTTAACAATTTTGAGCAATATAACCAATCATGTATTCAATGCATAAACAGTTTCTTTGTTTACTGGATTTACTTTAAATAAGTTTTAACTTATATATTTTGATTCCAATAGCGTAATAACTTTATAGACATACTGTAAGGGTGGTATTTTGATACACTAATGTTCATTGTTCTTTGGCTTTTCGAATTTAGCATCTTTTTATTTTGAAAGCATGTTAATATTATTGAAAAGCCCTAAATGAACTAAATTAATCAAAAATGTGGTAACAATAGATAAGGAAAGGGCAATTTGTTAAACATAATAAACGACCCCAGCTATTATGAAACTATTCCTTGAAGTTTAGATGAAGGTTCGTACAAATTTATATAACAACCACAGTTTTCAGAAACGTCTTCATTATATAAATGAGTTTTAGTTGACTACGTACACTTTTTAGATAACGCGAATAAAAATCCTGAAATGTAGTGGAAATAAAATATGCATATTTTGGTCATTTTTCGTGAAAATAGTCGTTGCTGGAAAACAAAAACAACTACGTTTTCCCTACCCACATACATAGTTTTAAGATGGTTTCATTTGTCTTTTTAAACTAGATTTCAAAGGACGAATTTTATTATGCTTGATATTATAACCATTTCAACATAGAGCTTTCAATGTGTTATTGTCCTCTCTCTATGAACTTACATAAAATTTGCGATTTGATCTTAGGCATATTTTTCTTACCAATCATATGTTGATTAATAGTGATTAGCTATTAGTCAGAGGTATGAGATTTTATAATATATACAAACACTTTTACGCTTTCCTACAGTTACATCTTGTAAACCAATTTCTATCGATTGTGACCATGTATTCGTCATTTTAGATTGATAACTGCATATTTATCGTTATAAAAATCTGAACCAGTTCGTGGGTTATTACACTCTCTGACTTTCAAATGCTGATTCTTATTTACAAGGATAGATTTTCTGTATAAAAATCACCATTATGGATAAAAACCTGACGATATTCAAACAGTTGGTCTAAAAATTCTAAATTGAACATCAATGTTAGTCGATGAGAAATTGTGCTCAAATTACAAATTCATCTTTGCTCATGACTATAGTTGCTCTTCATTATTTTAAGGTATCTACATAATGATAATTTAATATATTGTAAGGAAACAAATGTTAACGAACAACTACAGCAACGAGTCAATTTATACTTTTTTTTCAAGAATAAATCGTACTCACTATTGCACTTATGTAGAATAATTTCGACTAAGAAATATCTCAAATACATGACATCGATGTGTGAAAGTAAATTTTGCCAAGATTATTCATAAAGTTGTACATTTGCTGTAATAATATATGAATTATTTTCTTTTTGAAAAATTACTTTCATCAGGTGTTAACTACGCTTATTTCGTTAAACATTTGGACTTACCAATACACTTGGAAAATTACCTACTCTATAGTGAATACTGGTATCTTTGAAAATTCAGAAACAATAGTCATACTAACGTACATAGAGAATTATGTTTACAGACATACTTGAATTTTGTACGTTTCATACTGATATATACAATGTAAATACCAATTAATCTCTAGATTGAAATTTATGAAGAGTTATTTTTTAAGCAAACTAATGCATTACCACTAATTTTGGTGTTATTTTAAACCACATGTTGGTAAGCTACTCAATTCTGTTTTAAAGACGTAACAGACTGAATTCGTGTTTAAATAAATCTCAATAAGTTGTCAAAATAAAGGATATCCAAAGCCCGCTTTGTTTCGACAGTTTGGGTAAATGTTTGTCAGAACCCCTAATTTAGAACAACATATATAAGCGAACAATATTGTTTTCGATTAGATCCTCATCAGGCTTTACTCTAATATACAGTAATATTTATATGCATACACGAAATTATTAAACCAATCAAGGTAGTTTATAAATCAATGATAACGATGAATAAAACGATTACACACTATGTGAAAAGTACAAATTGTAAAATCAGTCACAAAATTGGGACCAGAATAATTCACTCGAACTAAAAAAATCATAAAACAACCTAATTCCAACAGCTATGGTGACTGTGTTAGGTTAAATCAATATATGATAATAAAGCTGTTTGAAATAACTGCTAATAGTTATCTTTCAAAAATCACTATCAGCTGGAACGGAAGTGGAAATTCATGATTATTGAACAGTTCCTAGTCAGGATGCAATTTGTGGGCCAACACATGAGGGAATTTTCCAACACTGATAATTGTATTAGTTCATAATGAAAATGGAACTTGACTAAGTTCTTATCCGATGGTCAACAACATTTCGACGATGTATCAGCCTAAAGTGCCTTACAAATTATATAGACCAACCCTAATCTGCTGCTATCAATGTTTTATAAGTAGCCAATAGTTAACATTTACTAGTCGAATGCTATTTTGAACGATATCACTCAGTGAATCTCCACACTACTAACAGTAAAATATTTTAATGAATGATATAAATTATTTTTGTATTCAGAATGTTAAATTTGTAAAGAAATTCATATTGAAACAAATGATGTACTCTTTGACTATTACTTAGTTCTAAGAGTTTCCTAGCTAATTTTAAGCTTTTTCTATGAATACAGTTGTTTAGGTTATTGTCTGTTTGACGGTTAACATGAAGTTATACCGTATATTGTTTGATGAACAAAATTTCAAACTAAGATCTAATCAAATTTTCGGAAGATAATACTAAATAAAAATGAAGTAATTTTAGGAAATCATTCAGTCAGTAACAACGTAGAACTTCGTACGTACATACATCAGTTCGAGTTGCCATACCACATTAGCATAGAGATGCAGTTATCGATTGAAATCCCCTAGTGGTATAGGTAGTAAGAGTATAAGCAGTAATCGAAAAATGTAAATTTATTAATCAATATTAAAAAAATATATCGGTGAAGAACAGAAGTCAGAAAATTTTGTGATCTGAAACAAATTAAAAATAAAATGATATTTGCGGTTACAATTATGACTGATATGAAGCATAAAAACAGTATAATTAATAGAATCTTTACAACCATCTATTTTCATAAAATATATTGTTAATCATAGTGTCTGTTATTTGATTGCGATGAAATTGGTTTGCTTTAACGACTTTGACTTGAGATCTATCCAAATTCGGCCATAAATCACAATAGGACAAGAAAGCACGTAGTTTTGCTGGAATAGGCAACTTTTTAATAAGGCTAGCATAATTATAATATTTCACAGAGTTGGATTTTTTATAGGCTTGTCTACGAACGTCTAAAATGAGAAAAGCAATTATAATGAAAATATGCTTTGAAAAAATAACATAACGAAAATATGTTCTTATGAAATGTTAACAAACTAGTTGGAGAGTAAGTTAGTAAACTTACTACTATTTTAGGTGGTTACAAATTCGATTTTCAAAATACTGATTTACAGGTACATAGATGAATCACTTTAAAACATACTAGTTAGTCCACGGAATTGGCTCTAGAAAAAGTAATCATCGTCAATAATTTTCCGAAAATATTGTTAAATGTTTCACAAACGAAATCTTTAGAGTGCTTAAAGCACATTTCTAAATCCTCAGATGATGTGAAAAAACTTGAGAACAAATCAGCAATAGCATTACACTCGAATGAATCGGGTCATATAGTTGATTTTAATGGCGCAAGAATCATTCAAAAAGGCTTTAACTCTTACAAAGAACGATTAACAGCCGAAGCCCTACATATATGGGCTAATTCAAACAGTATTAATAGGAGAGATGGAATACAATTAGCTGTCCCATGGCAACTAATAATTAATAAGTAAACCTGAACTCCTTATTCCAATCTATCTATATCTTATTAACTAATCAATAGATAATACATTTAACGGTTTCAAATCAGCTATTGTATCTGAATATGTTAAACAATTGACGGGAGCACTAAAATAACACAAACTTTCAATTACAAATACATTCTTCCTCTTTGAATTCAGTCTGTTATCTTGTTTATTTATCTTCATTTAATGCATGCTGTGACATTTTGGTTCATATCATATATAAAATGATATGTTTTCTTAATATACACATACCGAAGACAACATATATTTGAATGAAATTTCTTCTCACACCACTTACGTAGACACACAATCTGTTATCTTAACACTTTTCGTTTTTTCACAACACAAGTCTCTTACACACTTTTGTAAATACCTACTTCAAACAGGGTGCACGTTGATTGGATGTTTTATTCAGTATACAGTAAACCAGAGAACCTTGTACCTATTTATATTTATATTCGATAATTTTGTTGTTTGATTATATTTTCCTTGAAAAAGCTTGGACCAGATTGCCAGGCGAAACGTTGAATTTACCTAAAATTCATTCGCTGAGATTTTACAAATACATTTTTTCCTCTTCAATGTCTTTACAGTGAAATTCTATACGAAACAGTTAATACAAATTCTAGTACAAGTTGGACATTAGACTCTTACTAATATAAATATATAGCTTTGGAATGCTTATGGTGATAGAATACACAAATGTTGGTCTTCAGAAACTGTAGTCAATCTAACCTCCTTGTGATTTGCATCTTTATTTTTTAATTAAGATGTTGAAATCGCGACAAAAGACATACTGAAAGAAAGCTTTTGGGAAAATTGATGATATAAGACACGCTAACACATATTTACCACTTACTTTTTAGGGAAGATTTAAAGTGTAATTTTATTAAAAATGATTTGGAATTGATTTAAAGTCAGTTTAAACAATGTAACTAACTGGTTTAAACAAATCTTTGGATTCAAATTCCATACTCCACACCCTTAATTGCTTCCAAAATTTGATGAATTGCAAATCAGTTGAATGATTAATTGTTCGGTTAATAAGGCTGACTTATCCTTCATTACAGAAATTATTAAACTAACCAGTGGAAGAACCACTACAGTACTGAAAAATGATGATAGAATAAATCACCCAGAAGGATAGTGCCACTATATTTTTCCTTATAACGTACTCCTTCAGAGTCATACTTGGTTAACAAACTAAATAAAGCTTCACAAGAGTAAATATCTATTGAATATATGCTCTATAGCTAGAAATACCTGTTTAATTGATTGTACTTTCAATCCATCAGTGTGAGATATGCTCTGAATGAATATAAGTAAAAATAGTTCACCTCTTGACAATTACTAAAATAACTTTAAATATACATAATTTATAAAAACCAGGAAATTTCTAAAAGACTGTCCTATTTGGTATCTCTGAATTCAAATTCAGCAACCAAATCTCTCGATTCAAACGATCTGTAAATTTAGGGGTATCAGTTAGGCCTTTTTAATATACTCCATGAGCATGAGCACATTTTAGGAAAAACTTTTCAGTGTTTTTAAGTTATGTCTTCATTCGTGCATATTTCCATTAAAAACATTTTTAAAAAGCTTACTTCCTAATAGCTAGTTTTACAAGAAACTATTTATTCTGATGCATTTCGGTCGAGAGTAAAGACTGCTAGAGTGACCAACTGCATAAGAAATTTTTTATTCTTCATGATGTAGTAGTATGTTTGGGTCAAAATTTGGAGTTTGTTTATCCAGTGAAAAAGATTTTCTGTTACACCAATTTAGTGGACGCAATTCATGAAACTGAACCATCAATCTCTCAGTCAACTTATTTTTAACTCTCACCTATTGATGCAGCTTACCTATGACAGCAGAAACATGTCTCCTGATTGTAACTCGACAAAAATCCATAAGACTTAAAGGACCGAAAGAAAGGACTTGTTGCTGATCACATTCATTTAACTGGTTCCCCGTACGTGATCGATGCGATGCCCAGGCGATAAATAAATCATGCCAACTGGTATTCCAAATGTTAATGTTGTTATTAAACAAACAATTTGGATAAGTTGCACAAGAAATATTATGAGAATTCACTAAGTAAACCTGTCCAAGAGCTAACCAAAGAGCAATATTAAGTGGGCAAACAGGTCCTGACAATAGCAGTTCAAATAATAAGATGATATTTTCAGCCGTACATCGGATATTTTCACCATACATACATGAATTAAATAACCACGCTAAGTCAGAATTTTGAGAATCATAGTTCTGAAATTAAAAAGAAATAGGTTTCTGTGGACAAAAATTATATCAGATAATACCGGTTCAACTAGAATTTAGGGTTTACAGTCAATAAAACAAAGCTTACTCGCTTAAGAGTACGATTAGCGTCACTGAATTGTTTGTATAAACTACCATCAATTATTGTTTTTCGGTTGGCCAGAAATACATGTGTTGTTTTCACAACCAGTTTTTCCACGGTCACAGATTTTTTAACTGACTTGAATCTTAACAAACTAAAAGATACTAGGGGGAGTGACTACTTGTGTTTAGTTAAAAATATGGTTTATTCACCATTTTATAGAATGACCACTTCAAATATTCTTAGTGGCAAGCTTTGTAGCTAAGATGTCGAGTGACGCCTGTTTATGCGAACTTCTACACTCAACAACAAAAAACAAACCTTAATATATCAGCGAGGTTTACTTTAGTCTACGTGTCATTTTGTAACCTCATTCCAAGTATATAGTGAAACCTAATAAGACACACCGGCTAACTGATTACAAAGAACATAGAGCAACATCATATTTCATCATCTAGATTACTGACATCGTCTGGTCGATAAAATTTGATGAAGCAAAGACTAGATAACATACACCTAAACTGTTATCGACTGACTACTTCCCTCCACACAGCGCTTAGAACGTAGGTTCCAACAAACTAAAATTTCCCTAATATCGCCATATCTAGTTGTGATACCTAGGTCAGTATTTAGGAATCATGTTGCAGTTTATGTTTAAAGGACAGAGATTAGTCATTATAGTTAGCTGACAACCACGACACAGATTTGTTTTTTGAAATGATGATCACATACACCGCTTTATATAAACTGATAAGCACAACAGATACAGCAATCTATGAGAAACATCTGATTTAGAAATGCAACATTGAGCATGTCAATCTTTTATTTTTATTTATTTGTTTGAAAACAGTGTTCTAATGGCCAAGCGCTCGCGCGTAAGATTGACATGTCCTGGGTTGGAATCTCCAGTGAGGGCGGGAACGTGGATGCACACTGCTGAGGAGCCCCACAATAGAACGAAACGGCCGTCCAGTGGTGGTCTAGCTTCAACTGACTCATGATTTCAACTATTGACATAAATATTGGTACAAATGGGCACTAAATACATATGCATCACACAATAACAATGAAAATGTGAAGAGACAGAGAATGTAAAGTTTGTATAAGAAAAACGAAAACAACGACCAGAAATTAGCGTGTGAGAGTGAAATAATAATAATAGGGGAGGCAGTTCAGTTAGCAAAAGTACAACCAGAAAGAATTATTTCAGTTAAAAGAAGTTACGTTCATTTTTTATGAAGCAAAAGAGTTACAGCAGGATCGCCACTGGCTTCTATTATGAGCCATATCTGATAACGTCTCTAGCCACTGTGTTGCACTATCTCTAGGGCCTCAATCAGGGAGCCATGAAGGACCAGCAGAAGCCAGTCCTGTACAGCTTCCTTTCATACGACGACACCATGCCATACACTGACCACCTTCCCGCCTTTCCAACCAGTCCCACCGTCACCAAATAATGCACGACGTGGGATTCTCTGGGATTACATTCGTAGAACATGTCCAGGCGGTTACCAGATGTAGCTGCTGTTCTCAACTCATTGGCACGCCCCAACCACCCGGCTTCTGGGTCCTCATACAAGCTTTGGAAAATTTCACTACGTAACAGTTTTCGTCTGTGGTCAAACTCGCAGTCACTCAGAGTAGACCAACGAGCTTCGATGAGTTGTAAGGAGCCTGAAGAAACCCAGTGCTTATAAGCGGGACGTTTCGCGAAACCTCAAGCGACTTTACTCGCCATTTTCATGATGTCGTGCAATTGCAACCACTGCTCATCTACACTTTTCGGTGGGTTGGCAGCTAGCCTAGAATCTAGCCCGGTTTGATATTTAGTTGCAACAGAGGCTGAAACCAATTTTCTGACATCAATCCGTTTAGCGCGATGAATTCGCTGGCCACTAAAATGTGAGATAAGACATGTGCAAACAAGGGCATGATCAAAGTCCAGGTAGGTACTTTAAAAGGAGCGGCAGTCTTGTACACAACCACGCCACTGGTAGCTGATTGTGATGTTATCAGTCTGAGTCCAGGCTTAAGATGCAGAAGGAGGATGCCAGGTGGTACACCGGCGATGACTGTACCGGTATTTAGTGCTAGCCAGAAACAGTTTGTGATCTGAGCACAGTTGCAGTAGAGCCACGGTACTTTGTAACGAGTCCATTAACAACTCATGGACCCAAACAATCATTGTATCCTTTTGAATTAATTAAACCACCTACAACCAACAGATCTAATCAATCACATCTTATAAATAAATCAATTAAACGACTGGTAAATTTATTACACCAATTATAAATAAGTGGTACTTTTACATTTCTTTGTCATATAGATATTAGTACTAAGGCCTGACTTGATCATTTAGAAAAAAGAGCATTGAGTAGATTGTTAATGATACATTTGTAATATCCAAATGAGTAGGAAATAGATTTTCCAGCGTCTGGTGGTTTAGTGTAAGCCACTGTCTTTCTATAATCTTTCTGTATTTATTGCCTTGTCATCATTTTTGTGAATTAAAATAATGATGTTCAATAAAATATTAAAAGTAGTAGTCTCACAAAATCCCTAAAAATATGCTTGGATTCGACCTCGTTTACCCCTGAAGTGACATTGCACAAACAAAGTGGTAATGGGAACCCACTTGTTCCCGATTGTAGCCTCATGGAATCAAACATCTTCGTTAACGACATTAGACCACAAATTTGGCTCAGATATGTTGACAATAGTTTTGTCACCAACAAAATGACGTTCCTAAGATCTTTCTCTGAAATGATTAATACACTCTTATCGAACACCAAATTCACTTTCGGAAATCAAAATAAACACGTTGAGCATTCATTTTCAGATTGTTTAACCAAAACAGATCCAAGTGGAACTCTAAATCTAGCTATATATCATGAACCACTACGCTTCAATTCGACACATTTATTCAGTGCAAAAACCTCTGTAGAAGAGAGAACGAGATAATTACACCTAAAGAGGACAAACAAAAGGAACAGGAGGCTATAATTAACATCGCATAATTTACTAGTCTTCCTATGAATATTATTAAAACACACTAAAACGGAACGATCTATTGTTGAGTAATAATTCGGATGAACTATCATGGGTGGGTACCGTAGTTCTATCGCACCATCATTGTACAGCAGGTCCCGAAAGAATCTTAAAACTGCACACAAATGAAGCACATTACAAAACAACCAACAATTCGACATGCATTAAATAAATGAATTTTATTCTGGAATTAACTACAAAATGCATGCCGATTAACAGGCATGATCAGGTTGTTACAAACAGTAATATTACATGTAAAAACTTATATACGATCTTAAATTGTTTAAAATGTAGTTTATGAACTATTATGGGATAACATTTTTCATACGGATTACAACGATGTGATGTCAACTGAGAACTATTAGTTTGTATAAGGAACAAATTCCTTTTACGCCAACACAGAACTGTTTCTACACATTAAGTTGTATCGGTTGTGATACCTTCTATACAGGAGAGTCAGCTCATGAAATCTTAACACACGCCAAATAGCATCGAAGCTACACAAAGAACTACCTAATGACACTGTAGAACTTAGAAAACTTCAAATTAGATAAGCAATCGTATTGCATGCACGTTTTTCCAATATACAAAGTATTGGGGGTGAGGCCACTGGTAAAGACTAAGTCCAAGATATTTTGATGTCTGGTAGGGCTATTGACATACTGAATCCATTGTCCGAGCTCTAGACATTCTATAAATGATTCATAACGCTTCTGCGCCCTGACTGGGAACCTGTCATATTAGGACTATGCAATAAACATAGTAACAATGAAAAATTGCTAGTGGTTTGATTTTGTGAACTACTATTTTTTAGTTTTAATGTCTCTACTTTTAGGTTATCAAAAGATTCCTAGCCTCCACTTCAAAATAAAATTGCCGCAAACATACCCTTCATTATCTGAAATAAATGACTTACAGCGTTTAGTGCTCCTGGTATCAATTCAATAGAACAGGGCTCAATCAACAGAAGGTCGACAGAAAAGGGGTGTTTTTTATAAGAATAAGGAGAATCTGAATGTGACGCAAGGAGATAAACAACAGGCAAGTAATGCCGCCTCATAGCTAAATCTAATGGAGTATGACCAAGAGAGTTAGGGGATTCTGAATTCCAACAGAAAGGTGGATTTAAGAGCAGATTAATACACCGACTGGCTGATTGGTGAACAGCAAACTAAAATGTCCAATGCAATAAAGTAAATAACTCTTTATTCGTACGTAAGATGTACAAATTTCAATAAGCATGAATGTTAAAATATTTCAGTACATACATGACAGTTATTTGATACGTCTCCTGCTGTGACCTTTTAGGGGAGAATTCTTTATTATTAACCTGTTTTAGTTTAGATTTCCTTGTTTTACCTGGAGTAAATAGGAGACCATCCACATTTACTGAGGAAATGATTATTTGAAGCTCATTATTCGGTGAATGTTTAATAACCACGAAGCTGGTTTGCGACTTAAAATCATTTAGTTCACTTATGGGATTCAAGTACTTTAAGTCTGTGTGCGCTTATAAAATTACACTTGCTTCTTAAGGTCATTTGTAGTCTGATGTTTTACGAGAGTAGTATCATTATTTAAAGGAACCCACCACATATTTTAATTTGAACAACAATTTGATTGTCTTTGGGTCCATAAATGGTACGACTGGGGGTAGGGAGAGTCAGTTCTCCCCCTTGAAATACTCTCACATGGCCACGTATATACGGCCTCTAGGTCAAAGCATCGGGAAGTGGCTCCCTAAAAAAACCGCCTGCTTTGGTCCGAGCACCCCGGTAGTATCCCAGCACACACACAAATCGAATGATGAAGTGTGGCGCACATATATTTGGTGCCTTCTTGTACCAATATTTGTGTTTGAATAAAATGAATAGAAAAAATGGTCCTGAAAATAGACAGAAAGTATCACTAGGTAAATTACTTGACTTCAAGGGAAATAGATTACCAAGTAATTGAGACAAGCTGAGCTAAAACAATTTTGAATCCCGTTAGATGCTGAGTAACTCAACATTAAAATAAATAACATGGTTTTCCGGACGTTTCGCTGTCGCTAACTAACCAGAAGAATTTCGATACAAAGAAGCATAACTAGGACTTACCTAATAACTTGGCTACTAATACACAGATTAGTAAACATAGTGGATACTAATATCACCAATAAGTAAAAGTGGATAGCACAGTAAACCAGTCGTGATAATGCTGTGAAATAGCACAATAATAGAATATTGTGATGTGTGAAATGTGACTACCACTGATACTGTTACTACCTCTACAACTACGGGACTCGTTTTAGGAATTTCATGTCGCTGTGCTGTTGTTATGTTGAAAATTGGATCAATGCATGTGTAAGGTGCTACGTTGCGCATGAATGACTGAGGAAAATGATGTAGACAGGTGAATCAGTACCTAGATATAACATTTTAAAACTTTGCGATGACAACTTAACTGTGAAATTCATAGCCCATCACAAGAATTAAAAATTTCATTGATTTCAATGTGTAATTGTGGTCCTACCTGTGACTTTTCACTTTGGTTAGTATTGGAAACCAAAGTTGGTGATGCTGGACAACCTTGGGAAAATACTGTCGATATGAAAGAATACAGATGTAGAATAATATAGTATTTATTCTTTATCACTGCACAGAAAAAATGCATCTGAGCCACCGGATGATTTTCAGTTTAACCAGTTATACTCAAGTATCTCGTGAAGCGAACAAGAAAGCCAAGAGTTTTCTACAATGACATGTTAGAACAGTTGTGTTTTTGTCCGACCAACTAAAGAATTTGCCTGAACTATTCGAATTCAGCCAGCATAGTAGGTTGAAGGAGCTAGTGGATTACGACTCAACATACTTGACGGACGAATGGGCTTGGATACAAAATAGTGGCGCACAGTAACGTATGGACACTCAACTATTGAATCTTAGAAACCACAGTAAATGTGAACACATCTCATCAATCCCCAGGTTGTCAACTATGGAGCAATATCTAAGACACCCGACCCCCAACCTGTAGGTTGCAGGTTTGAACTTCGCCCCATCTACCTCGGTTTGAGTAGCCCAGTAATATGACTAGCTCCACCATAAGAAAGTATGGTCTGAAGTGGAGCACATCGACAAACGAGTTACATTACTATTCCTTAGATTGTGATTTATTTTATTAACTAAAAGAATCATAAGCAGTCAGTTTATCTCCCGAGCAGGTTTCACAGGTACGTAACCTATGTGCTTGCGGTAACTACATCCAAGTGCAGACTCACATATACAAAGCTAAAATTGGCTTCTGGTAATTAAAACAGTTGAACTTACACTAATCGAAATGATCAAACAACATGTCACCTAGGTTAACGGTTACATGAAATAGCTAAATCAACGTAACAAAAATATAGCATGAGTTTTTGACAAAAGTAGACATATATACATCACGCCAAAAACGTGCATGGACATACATGAAGTAGGTTCTCACGTATTTGATGATTAACAAGACTTCCCTCTGTTACTAAATCACTTGTAAACGCAGTCCCTTCGTTTTTTAATACATCTCGCAGTTTGTCAGGACAGTCATTCTTAACCGCTTGTTCAGCTTTGCTCAATGAATTGGAAAACCCTTCCAAAAGCTCAGCCATATGGAAGTTTTCAAAAACTGAAATTTTAAAAACGCATAAAAACCTTATCAGTGGCTGGAAATTATTTTTAAGCTCTAGATGTCACTCCAATTATTACACTAAAACAGCTTCACTGTAAAATATAGGACAGCTTCTGGTCATTTTATCAGGAAGGTTGTCGACAGTAAGACTATAGGACGAAACTGGGTCGCTTTGTGTAATCAAGAATATCAGAAGCTAATAGGGCATGTCAAAATTCATGGTAAATATTATTTCGTAAGGGAAATATAACTTGACGTGACTGTAAAACTCAGTATTTTCTTAGAATGAATATCTTTACTTAAAATTTGAGGAAAATAATTCTAATGAGGTGATATAGGAGGATCCTACCACGTCGTACATTATTCGGGACGATCCTACATTGAATACATGCATCGTGACAGCTTTTTTCGAAATGCACATGCTCAACGAAACATCTCAAAGGTATACGGGGTTTTATAGTCAAAGTACAAGCAAGATGAGCGACCCCGCGAATAATTTACGGTTAGACAGATCGAAGTAGGGGACGAGTTGTTTGGGCCATAAGCAACCAATAAAGGGGAACAAAGGGGAAATAAAGCGGACAAAGGAGTAAATAAAATAGAAGAATCAATTTTCCCCTTCACATCATGTATTTGGGGAAATATACGAGCAACACATCAGGGGTATCGGCAACTGACGGAGATCACTGAGCACTTGAAGGTCAGGCCGCCACAAAACGATTGGTGTGTCACCTTAACGATTCGTAAGGTTTTGCAGAAGCGGTCAAATCAAAACACTTCTAGATTTGAACTGAGTTCAGTCACACTGTCTGATAGCGTAACGTACCGTGTTTGAATATACCGCATCCTGTACCTACATTTCCATAAACCTCTACAACATAACGTACTGTTTATTAAAAAGAAGGACGATTATCGTTAACACGAGTAAGAAAATGCAATCACAGGGATTTTCCTTAAATGCATATATCCGTGCCTTGTTGTTTGTTCAACCAATGTATTCCGATATGCTTGGGTAGCCATCACAAATAGCTTACGAGGTGCAAGTGAGTGGCGTGCTCTCTGTTTTCTATGTTCGTTTCACTAATTACCTTGTTTGTCCTGTAAAATAAATTCAGCTAAAGTCAGTGAGAGAGTTCGTAGACGTAGGGCAACTGCGAACTTATCAAGCGCCCTTGGTTGTCATAGATCGACTTACAACAGACGGTGGAATAAAATACGGACAGCTTTCATGAAAAAACATAACTTGCTAATGTTTAATCAGTTTGCTAGTGAAAGCATGATCAAAAGTAGCTGACTTTAACAGTGATTTATGTTGCAAGTGCTTGCTGAGAATGGAATACCTTAACAATTGTGTTATCACCGCAACTGCAAAGTTACGTGTACTTTGCTGTGTTTCCATGCGTCGCATACTACTTTGTCAGCCTCGTAATTATGGAGGTTATCTGAGGGTGTGCACTGTTAAAATATCGGATATGGGGAGTATTTGGAAAGTGAAGGTCCGTTGATTAGATTGATAGGACGTAACGTGTATTATTATACATGATCGGCCAGAGTTTCTTGGGTAAGTATCCATTGCGATCACTTAGATACACGGACGTATACTGGCTGGGGCACACACCCAAACCTACTCATGAGGTGCATCAATGTCTTTGAGAAACCCCTGAAGTAACCTTGGGTCTCTGTTTGGGAAGTACGGGGTACTCGGTGGCTTGTGTGGGTCCTGGAAATATTAGTCCCCAAGTTGATCTGCCTTTTATAAGCGTTGACCGATAGAGCATCAATCACGTGTTGATGATTTGATGGGAAAGTCGATAGTCAGATGATAAGTATTTTATTCTGGGCTCGTGAGCTTTTCTAGAGTGTCCTCGTAAATCAATTGATTTAGAAAACAACGCCATATCAGGTGCCAATTCATCATTAAGTAATTTAAACTGTGACATATCGTCAGCCTGCATAAATACATGGGCTACCTCTTCCTGACATCCAAATATTTCAACAGAATATCTGATTTTTATTTTATTTTGACATCTCATTATGTCTGTCAATCGCATAACCTATACGTGCGCGTTTATCTAAGGCTTACTACCTTTCGCTGCACAAATTACAAAAAGTGCAATAACAAACGTCGTGGTGGCTGGCAATATATGTTGAAGAGAATGAACATTAACAATATGTCGGTCCCCAAGCCGCTAAATTCTAACTGCTTATTACTAATCAACAAGGTGTACTATTTTCAGTCCTTACTAAGTCAGAACATTCAGTCGCCCAGTTTATATATGTACCATATACCGTACACACTTGGATCGTTTGATACTAGTTGTCGAAAGTTCTAAATTACTTTATTACATAAGGCCACCGTTTCGTGCAATATATGTGTTAAAATTTACACTATGGGCACCTACGTGTTGTATTTTGCAAAACAGATTTTCGAAGATACTAGGATTCTTCTAGATTAAACACCTTGCCAGCGAAAAGCAGGAAGAGTCGGTTACAGACCACTAGCATCAAACCCCCAAATACAACATAGTCCCAAATGTCATAAAGTTAAGTCCGATTCCAAGGAGACCTCGGACTTTAAAGATATGTCACCACCGATAAACTCTTCAGAATCTCCCAAAGTTCAAAACCCGGGAGAAGTTAACTCCGATTTAGGTGGTGTCCATCCCCCTAAGAATGTTGACCTGGATCTAACTCTAAGTAGTTGTTCTGATGACGAATCGGATAACACAATCTAGATTCATATCAGTGTAATACCCAGTTACGGCAACCGTGCAACGGATAACGGGAAAAATAGTAATAACATTTATATGACTGACGATATATTCGATCTTTGCAAATCATCACAAGTGTTTTTGACAACGAAGGAGCCAAAGGAAACCAGAAATCTTGGAAATAAACGTTTGGGACATGTTCCGCATGCGTCAGACACAAAAAGTAATTCGAATTGTAAATAGCCACTTGGTTACACAAATAGGCCTGATAGCCTTATTGGTCCGGCTCCCAATGTGCACACTATGCTTCTATTAGATATTATAAGCAATAACAATCAGGAGACATTTGTTGTAATTCGGCCTGCATCTCTGCCGACAACGGTAAATATATTACAAATGTGACAAAGTTGTTGAATTTACTCCCCCTCATAACACAATTCTTACCTTAGCCAACTCTACGAGTATCCATGCAACTACTAATTGTAATCTATGCTTTAACCTGCTTCATTATGATAGCTATCAGCTTCTTATTTTTTCGTTCAATGTCTGCCTTCTATCCAATAAAATTACTCATCTTAAAATCCTTTTACTCCTTGTAAATCCAACCATTGTACTTATTATGGAAACGTAGCACAAATCATCCATGTCCGATCACTTCTTGCATGTGGATAGATACGTTTTCTTTCGAACCGATAGATGTGATGAAATAGGAGGCAATACGATCACCTGTGCCCTTTCAGACACCCAGTCGTGCAGATTTGAGAATGAATCTCTCGATACCATAGATGGCTCTATTTGGATTACCGTAAGTTGTTGATCGTAAAAATCATCTACTGGTGGGATGCATATACAGACCACGTCATGTGGATACTAATTTTGACAAATTACTACGAAACACAGTTTTCATTGCTTCGCACCAACCGCATACGCTTAAAATCATTGGAGGCAATTTTAATCTGTCGGACATTACATGGGGTTAGACTTCCGTATCAGATCTATATAATAAGTTGGTTGAAGCAATAGAACTTTGTGGATTGGTCCAACAAGTGGAAAAACCGACCAGGAGGAATAATGTACTTTATTTACTATCTACAATCAGCATAGACTCTATCTTAGTGTACGTCAGTCATGAGTTCTTTTGTGTCATCGGCACTATAATAACTTATTGTACCTTTATTATTGTTATGCTTGTATGAATAAGTATGCTTGAACATTGTTGACTGCTCACGCATATATTCATCCCGCTAACCTTATTATTAGCCACTTAATCAATTTGATAATCCATTTATATATATATATATATATATATATATATATATACATGTATATTTAATATTTACACATTCTCGGTCTGCTGACTCATTCGCCTCTCTGCTCTGTGGTTCGCGTTACCTGCTAATAAAACTGTAGTAGCTGCTTCTCTTGGCCTTCTGATTTCAAACACCGTTGAGGGATTATACGATAACGTTTACGAGGGTGATTGGTCAACGAAGCATAGCCACTACAAGCTGCAACAATGTACCAGATCAGACAGTTTGATCAACAAACCTGGGAGCGCACTGAAACTCTTATTCGATGCTTACCATGAGGATCTTATTTCACCACAAATAATATTGACACTGAACTTCCCAACTTATACCACAACTTGGCATATTCCCTTGGCTGCACTGCTCAAAACGCTAATATGGGCCAGAATACTGTTAAAATGTTTGAAAGAAGCTTCGAAAATTAAAGCACTGCTACCATGAGCATAATGACGTGTATGCACTTCAGAGTATACTTAACTTAATCGACAGAAGCGTTTCATTTAAACGCAAGTATCTTATGACAGTGAAGAATAAAGCCCTAGGTAGCAAAAACCCAGGGTTATAAATACTCCGACTTTTCAAATCCCATGTGAAATCGAATTCCCTTGACACAACCAAATTTTTCATAGTTAACGGAAGCATTGTTGACGACCCTGATATTACTTGTGAATGATTCAGCCAGCATTTCTCTCAATACTATAACACTGAAACCGAAACATCTGTCAATTCGTTTCCAATGTTGACATCTAAACATTTATCCAAAATTGATTTCATATCCATCACCATCAAACAGACCATAGCTGTCATGAAAATGTCCCATGACGGTGGACCTAACGTGGTTCCTTCCTCACTTGCGAAATATGGAAGTAGAGAAGTCTCATCATTTCGTTTACAACTGTTCAACCTATCTATGGAATATGGAGCCTATCCATCTGCACGAAAAACACCTCTTTTCACTCCCA